AGAAGGAGTTTCTCCCCTTACATCTCCTCAAGTCACAGGTACAACCAGTCATAATCCTACGACCATTTCTCCACAATTAACTGGTATCACCAACACATCTACTTCAAATATTCAACAACAACCACATCCTGATTTACCTTCACATTCACACCAAACTCAACAAAACATCCATCCAGAAGCTTATCAAGGTATCGAAGTCGTCGACCCTAATCAGAATACAATGGCATCACAACAAATCCCACCTCAGCAAGAGGGTTTCACAAATGAGAAGAGTCAATATCAAGCTCCACCTCCTCAAGGTCAATACCCTCCTCAAGATCATTATCCAGCGCAGCCTCCACCTCAAGCAAATATCAACCAAGGAAGGAATAACTATGCCACTGCTTTGCCTATCCGTGCACTCCAAACTGGCCCTACTCCTGTAGATTGTCCTCTCTGCGGTGTAAGAGAGGTAACAGCTGTTGAAAGTCACAGTGGAATGACTACACAGTAAGTTATTCTCTTTCGCCTCTTCGAAGGCAATATATAATATATACTAACCCTTCATTAGTCTCATCGCGCTTCTTTGCTGCGCTGTCACCTGTCTAGGATGTATACCCTACCTTATCTCTGGTCTCAAGGACGTTGAACATAAATGCGGACATTGTGGTGCATTATTGGCGGTTTGGCACAGGAGTGGTAGGACTGATGTCAAAGTACCCGGTGTATGAAGACCTTGGCATTTATATTTCCAATCTGTCTTTTTGGGGGGAATGGAGTATCGCCTGTATTGTATAATTATGCATGGGGGAAAATACACTCAGGAAGCTGATGGGGATGGGATTTATTTCAGTAATAAGGGATGGGTCATATGGGTCATTGGGGGGTACTTTTGATGGTCTTTTTCGTTGTAGGATATGGGATGTGAGATGATACCCTCTTTTCGTCTTGGCTTTTTGCCTTGCTATTTAATTATTCAAGAATATAATGAGTTCAAATTCTCATGAACTGGAATACATCATGATTCTTTCCATATCCTAGGCTGAAAGTGGACAATCGGATACAAGAAGTTCCTCGAAGGCTCAAAACTTAGGACTCAAGTGATTCATATTTTGTACAATGCTTTCACAGATACTGAATTGTGAATGTCTAATGTTCGCTTCGGTATCAGAAGGAGATCGATTTTTGTCGCTATTATTTTGTTATGGGCCCAGCGAGCTCAATCTAAGTATCCGACAGTACCATTATCAATGGGACCCTACCCACAAATGTACCCTCTTATGATAGGATTCCAACGAGCTCCTAAACATAATGCCAAAAGCTGTCTACTTATGGTTTAAACCCCCTGCAAGCAACAAGCTCTGGCCAGTCGCGTATCCGGTCTTTGCAAACATCATGACTGCATTCGAGCATTCCTCTGGAGTGCCTAATCGATGTAGTGGAATTGCATCAAGTAAACTAAGAGCGACATCGGCATTTGGAATCATACCTGTGTTACCAATCATTGCCGGTGCCACATCATTGACTGTAATTTTGTACTCGGCAAGGTGAAGTGATAGATTCTTCATCATAGATGTGAGACCACCTTTCGACGCAGCGTAGTCTAAGTGCACATCAGTCAAGAACTCAAGGAATGAAATGAAAAGTGTATATCGTACGGCAACCATTGAGTCCAGCTCCATAAGCAGCTATACTCGATATAAAGATAATTCTCCCCCACTTTTGTGCCTTCATTCCTTCCACCACACCTTTAACTAATAAGAATGAGGCTCTCAAGTTGATGTTAAGGGTATAGTCAAATTCCTCTAATGGGATATCTGATATATCTACAATTCTCTTTCCATACCCTGCATTTGATATCAAGATATCTACCGTGCGACCCCCATGATCACGTTTGATCTCATCAAAGAGTCCCGAGATTTGTTCTGGGGAACCCATGTCCACTTGATGAATGGAGATTCGAGAATCTCTCCCTGATGAAGTTTGACGCAATTCATCCAGGAGTTTATCAATTGCATCTTTGGAAGTGGAATATGTGAGTGCGAGATGGATACCCTCAGCTGCAAATGCACGAGCACAAGCTGAACCTATCCTATCTCCTTGTTATCATAGTTTTCGGTGTCAAGTGTGGTGCTTCTTACCCTCCAGATGCACCCGTGATAAGGGCCAGTCGATCGACCAAGTTGTTGTCAGCCATTTTGTGTTGTGGATATTTATTCAAAAAGAGAATTTTATTGCCTGGAGCTTCATTTGTTATCTGGAGATGTTGTTCCGAACTCAATAGAACCGCTTGCCCCGCATATAGCGGGGGAACGTTGGACGAAAATGGGGAAATATGGGCAAGCTTAGGGGTCGTTTTATCCCACTCCATCACGTGTCATCACTGTATCTTATCAATCAGTTCTCTTCATTCGACTTGTCAATATATCAAAACTGTCCATTGGTGATAAGACCTCAATTTCTCATATCGATGCAGACTTTGGGTTGATTATCCTCATCAATTATCGTTGAATGTTGCTGATGGCTTGACGAGACAAACAGCAAGCATGAGTATCCCAGCGCTTCTCCAGGAGTATGTTCCTGACCTCAGCTATTACGAATTAGTCTAAAAAAAATCTTCATCAAAATCCCGGGCTATCACTCCAGGAGCATTTAGTTTCGGAAACTGCTGCAAAGGAACTCCGAAAGCTTCGCGAATTTGAAGTCCATACGAATATCGGAGGTACTGGCCTCATTGGAATTTTGAAGAACTCTTCTGGACCTACAGTTCTCCTTCGTGCAGATATTGATGCATTACCCGTCAAGGAATTGACCGGCTTACCATATGCTAGCACGAAAAGAGAAGTTGATGGCGCAGATGGTATTGAAAAGTATGTAATGCACGCTTGTGGACATGATATGCATATAGCATGTATGTTAGCCGTTGCAGAAACATTATCAAAAGCAAAGTCCACTTGGAAAGGTACATTGGTGATATTGTTTCAATTAAATGAGGAGCGAGGTGCAGGAGCGAAAGCTATGATAGAGGATGGATTGTATGATCCTGAAAGACATGCATGTCCTATTCCGGATGTAGTGTTGGGACAGCATGTAATGCCACTTGCAACCGGTCAAGTGGGAACGCGAACAGGAATCTCTGGATCTGCTGCAGATAGTTTCAAAGTGACGGTTTATGGAAAGGGTGGTCATGCATCACAGCCACATATGACGATCGATCCGGTGTTTTTAGCTGCTAATATTGTTGTACGATTGCAAGGAATCATCAGCAGAGAAGTAAATCCTCAAGATTCGGCCGTAACAACAGTTGGAAGCGTCGTTGCGGGGATGACGGAAAATATCATTGCCGATGAAGCTGTGTTAAAGATTAACGTGAGGAATTTTAATCCTGAGACAAGGGAAAAGGTTTTGAAATCGATCAGAAGAATCGTGAAAGCAGAATGCGATGCATCAAATACTACAAAAGAGCCCCTATTCGAACCTACGAGCAGTTTCCCCTTCTTGGTTAATAATGATGGCATTACGCGAAAACTGTCGGGTACTTTCGATGATGTGTTTGGGGAAAATCATAATCAGAATTGCGCACCTTTGGGCGGATCAGAAGATTTTGGAATTTTGGCAACAGTGGCACCGAACAAAGAGGGTGGAAAAGGTGTACCTTCCTGTTATTGGCTCTTTGGTGGCACAGATCCTGACGTTATTAGGAAAGCTAAGGAAGCTGGAAGGATGGAAGATGTACCAATTAATCATAGCCCATTATTTGCGCCAGCAATACAGCCAACACTCAAGACCGGTGTGGAGGCTTTGGTTGCGGGCGCGTTGACATTTTTGAAAAGTTGAGAAGGACGTCTTTAGAACTTCTAAAGATATATGTTAACATTGAATAGAATACCATGCATGATAAGTCAGGTACACCAGATTTGCATTGTGAGTGAAGATTGATTTTCGAAATTTATCGACTCGCCAATCAGCCAACCCCACACTTTCACCAACAAAGCGACGGTGACATTGAAGCAGAGGACTGCCCTTTATAGATATAAGATAGTCACATTCCTTCGAGAGTATGAAGTGAGTCGGCGCAGTGGTGGCAACCCGGGTTGGGACCCACATGTGCATATTCCCTAGGCTTCGCTTGGTAGGTCGTGTGCTGCGTTTCCTGGCGCACTCGGTATACGATCACCTCATTACCCATGCCTACGGGCGGGTTCATATTCTTTTATTCTTTTTACCTTTTGTTCAATTGCTTTCTTCGATTTTTTTTGGACATCTTTAACTTATGGGGTGCGTGGGTGCTATATAGGAGAAGTGATTTGTGGAGCATTCTGTGTCTTTTGTAGGGTTGAAGATATTTACTCTCCTTAAATTGATTGAATCAGGCGAAGGTCTTGTACAAAATTATCATCCACAGGAAATTTCAGGTCATGCCATTTCTCTCACCCTTGCGACCGTCGTTGCATCCCAACGTACTATCGAACATGACAACATTAAATTACTTTTGTCATGGCAACCGACTCGCCGTCTTTCAAGTGGTGCGCTCAAGCAAGTCTGGACGCTCTTAATTTAGCTCTTCAGGACGTACAAAGTACTTTGCGGCCTCAGTAAAGACGAGGGACGCATCTGTTTTGGAGTACATTCTTAACGTGGAGGTCCCAAGACTTAGGAGTGTATACACGACCTCTGATAAGTTTCATTCATATTCATGGTATCCGATAGTCTAGACCACAGTCGAACAATCAAAATCTTTAGAGCATTCAACGTCTTTGAGATATTAAGGTCCTTGTATGTGTCAAATGGAGTTTGAGTAATGGCATTATCGAAATCTCGGAACAAAAATCTTGAATTGCGATCTGGACTATTGGAAACGTGATTCTTCCCAATATCCAAAGCTACCTATGGCATCTAACAAATGGTTAGTTGATGGCACACGACCGAAGCCACCGTTTTTTGATAAGGCTCCGCCCGAGGATGTCCTATAATTCTTCCAATCCTTCACTTCCGCAAACGATAAGCAGCCACCGCCGACCATGACTAAAGCTCGAACCAAGAATCTCGACCTCATCAAACCTAAACAAACTTTGAACCGAGTCCAGAAGCAGAAGAGGGAAAGGCCAGCGAGAGCTCATGGTACCAGAAGCTATGCTGTGCTCATGAAAAGTCGGGAGAAAGAAGGAGTTCCGTTAGACAGTGATGATCAACCGCCATTCGAACGCTTGCCTGTCGCCCTTCTTCTCAATTCCTCCGCCACTTTCAAATGTCTCGTAGAAGCTGAGCGCCAGAGACTCTTCGATGACAGGGGGGATAAAGTCTGTTACAATTCAAAAATCACCCAGCTTAAGAAGACACATATCACCGAATACACCGTATATAATGATGACCTTATTGAAGGAATTTGGGCGAAGAAGCAAATGGGTTATGCCGAATTGGCAGCATTGGGGAAGGAAGTAATCTGGGATCTTGTCGTGATGTGGAGCAACATCGTGATGGGAGGGTCGTGTTTTGGTCAAGGAAAAGAGGATGAAAGTTTGACTGATGAGGACTTGGTTAATTTTGCTATTCTGGGCAAGTTTCTGGAAGTTGAAGAGGAGTTCTTCGAAAGGTTGAGGAAGGCTGAACACGAGAAATTCCAATGAGGTCAAGGAACATCAATGCGGAGTTGTGGGCCGATAATCTCTACCTACCCATAATCTAATAAGGAATAGAACACCGAACGGATAGTTTTTACTATTGCCATTTGCATTTCTGAACATATTCTAGCTTTGCCACCTGCGATTCATCGCTATCTACATAAACATGGCTTATTTTTCGCTAGATAGTGATTGAAACACGAACTAATTTAAAATCAATAAATCGTGTCAACAACTAATGCTAGTGAAAGTTCTATTTCTGCGATAATCTTGGTCTTGATTGGAGAGGAGTCTTAGGTGTGTGATCTGTGCTGGAACTTTCGCATGCAGTACACTAGCAGCTTTCAACGAGTGAGCCCGATTGAATTCTTTCAACAACTTGAGATCCCGACTCCATTTTGAATAAGGTATCAACTTCCAACCCTGAACGACTTTGATTGTTTGACTGAAGCTCAGACTATCGGAAAGTCTGACTAGAAATGCTGCTGTTCGATCACCTGGCAGAAATCATTTCGTTCGTCAAGTCTTGATAAGGTAAAATGCCGCATACAATGAATATTAGTTACTGCATCCCATGTCTGTTTTGCTTTCAATAGTACTTATAATGTCGATGTGTGTCCTCCCTACACCTGTTGTTGGGAATCTGTCTACAGTTTTCCTACTCGCTTAATGAAGCGAGGTATGGTGGACCATTATAAAACATTTTCATTGCCGAATGTTGCGTGAAAAGGTCCTTACAGTTTCCCTGCATCATCGGCCTGACTCATATATGTATTCATCGATAAAGATCGTCTGTAAGAATTCATTATTACTATGAGAGTGGAAATAAATTGTTGAAATAAAGTAGAAATTGGACAGGAACAGTTAGCATTGGTGGATGTAACCCCCATACAGAAAAGGCACCATGCTTTCGGCATGCAAACACAAAATCAGCATTGTATTTTACTCAAGCACCAACTAAATTTATCTCTCTCCGGACGGAATTTCATCGAAGAAAGATCAGGGTCGAAATAGAGAGTTTCGGCTCACTGAATGCACATTCCCGGTATGTATCCGACGGTATGGAGGTCGCGGTCGTTTTGGAAGAGATTATAGGCTCTTTTAGGGTATACACACTAAAAGACTCTATAATTCGTTGGATTTGGTCGGGATCTATAAAAACTGATGTCCGCCCTACCCGAATAAACTAGTGATGCCTATACTTTAGGCTTAGTTGGGCTCTAAACCAATCTAAAATTATGGTGCATAAAGCTTATACAGAATAGGCTCGTTAAGCTTAATATAGGCTGGAAGTTATCTACACACAGACCCTATAATTTTCAATTAGTGTGCTTGATTATAGGCATCTACAGGGCTACCATGGCTACCTAGTGTCTTCCAAAATGACCGCGACCTCCGTACTCGAGTACCATTTCATATCTGAGGGCATACCTAGACATAGAAAGAGGATACACTTATGATAAGGGTACAACTTGCTCTTCCTCTTGTTGGATCAGAACGATACTCGGATCGACATTCATTTGATATCTAACAACAGGGTACCATCGGTGTACTCATTGATTAGTACCTTCACAGACAGACTATGATGAGCCGACGAAGATGGTCGCGCCATAGTTTTTATCGACGAGCATGGAACACTACAAGCACCACTGCATGATTTCATTCATTTGAATATCACGAAAACAAAATCATATCACGAGCAGCAAGTTCATTTTGAAATATCTGGGGATGTTCTCATTAGTTCTGGGTTATCAAGATCGTGATCCTACATCATCTATCAAGACTGCCGAAAACTCAAGTACTTTAACACCATACCAAAGAAAATAAGTTGTAAATAAGATACGGAAAATCCAATACCTGCGAAAACTAGACCAGAAAGCCAGACCAAAAAAACAGTCGACTTCTGAAAAACACCTCCAGTACCTGCAGAATCATTGTTTCCTGCCAGGATTTACACCATTTTTGACCCATTAATCTCAAATCCATCCATTTGTCCTCTCAGCAATCCCTTCTCAAACCCCTTCCCAAACCGCGAATCCCTTCCCATTTTCCGAGTAATTTTATCGCCATAACTCCACCACAATGCCACCAACCAATTTCAGTAAACCATTGGAGAACTCCAGCTCGAGAGCAATCATTTCTGCAAAACTTCAACTCCTCCAGTGATGATTTCCTTCATTCCTCCATTTCACCATAAAGTTATTAGCATCTCAGGTTAGATCATTGCATAAGAGTAGCTCCTTGCCTAAGGGAACATCTCATTGCAATTCCGCCACCGCTCATTGATGCCGATAGGAGAATAAACCTGTGTATGAAAATAAGTCCTCGCCAAAGGAAATATTTACCTTCTAGGTTTCTTCTCCTACAGTCTTCTGTTAATTGGAAGATTGCGTCAAAAATGATGGTAACTCCTTGCCTAAGGGAATATTTTATGCTATGTTGCCTCCGCATGGTAAAGTTTTTGATGGAAAGTGGTGTGTCGGAATGAATGCAGCCTCGCCAAAGGAAGCATCCATCTTTCACATTACCTTCTATCATAGACCTTTAAGAAAGGAGAACAAAGTCTGTTAAACTATCCCTTGCCTAAGGGGATGAGTAATAACTGACTCCGTTCATCCCAACCATAGTGCGTAATCGTGCAAATGCTGGTGTTGGAAGGAAAGTACTGGAAGTCGAATTTCTTTTGTCAGTGCAGAAATTGTGAGAATGATTCCTATTGACTTGTCGTTGAAATTTTGAAAAGTAGGAGAAATCGTCATGAAAACCATCGAAAAACGATAACATACAAAGAATTCACATGAATACTCCATTATTGAAGACGCGTCCGCCTTCTCAGGAAAGTTAATGTAAATTCGATGCGAAGTATTCATGATCAGATGCTTCTCATACCATTGAGTTGTTTGAAACAAGTGGCCTTGTGATTTGTGGTTTGTTCGTCATGGTAAAGAACGTTGATGGGTGTCATTCGAAGTGTTGTTAGGACCATTTGGAAGAGTCGCCGCCCTTGCAAAGAATACAATTAAGCCCCAAGAATTAAAAACAGAATAACATGTAAATACAGAGAATCAAACTTCTTTTCTTTGACGGCTCATAAGCTTAAAGCAAGTATGGTGCAGTAAGGACTTGTCGAAATCCCTTGAGATTTAATTCTCGCGAGAAAAAAACCTCACAACATCTTCATAAGTGTTGGAAAGGTCCCAGGTAACGACTGACTTGACCTTGACAACGATTCGGTACAGGTAAATGATTCCGCTTCGCTGTAAAATTGGGGGTGAAGTAGTCGGTATAGCTCGAAAGAGCAGCAACTGTTGTGACCTGAGGGGATTGGACCGAAGCTGAAGCTGAAGCTGTTGCTGGTATTACTGCTAACTGAAAGGTCGTGCTCGTCGCAACTATTGGTGCGTTCATTGTGGCAATTGGAATGATTGCCGGTCTTGGTGCATCAATTAATCGAATGACCCCTGTGGTAGACCCGGTAGAGGAAGCGGCAAAGTATCCATTTAAGGCAAGCCAAGAGATGGTTAACAAAACGATGAAGAAAAACTTTGACCAAAAATAACTCTTAGACCTAGGAAGTGATTTCCCCTTGCTAACAATCACTGGGATTGGGGTCTGTTCTGAGATTTCTGGGCGTTCCATGGCTAAGAAATTCTCAGCCACAAACTCCGGTACAAGTGCAAGAGTAGGTGAAGTTGGTGCTTCCACAACCATTTGCATTGGAATCTGTTCATCGATTGCCGTGCTTTCCTGGACTGGGACAGATTTGCCAGTAGACTCCGGTACAGATAGGAGAATTTCCGGAATTTCCGCTGAGGCAACTTCTGCAGACTCCTTAGTAGCAGAAGTCTCATCGTCGTGGATGGGCTGTCCGGACTTTTCTTCTGTCTTGCCCCATGCCTTCCTAGTTGCATCGATTAATCTTCTTTCTGATTCAGGATCAAAAAGATCCCTGAGGATCTTCTCCAGATCTAATTGTGCTTCCGCTGCAGATTGTACAGGACGCAAGACTGGGCTGCAAGGTTGGCTGCAATGTGGGATTTCAATACCAGAAGCAGCGTTCTCATCACGGACCCTAATCGCGCATTTCATCCATCTAAATCTAGCTTTTTGCTCTAAGACCTCTTTTTTAAGGGATTCAAGCTGAGCAGAAGTCTTTTTGTGAGCTGAGGTTTCAGAATGAATAGTACGATTCATTGATTTCAAAGTTGCAGAATGATCCTTCTGTAACTTCTGAAGTGCCACGGCAAGCTCTTCGACTTCTCTAGTCTTTTTGATTAGTGCGGGATGATCTCTCTCTACAATCTTTGATTGATGAGACATCGTGTCGACCAACTGTGCCTTTTCAGCGGTGAGCGTCTGAACTTGTTGTTGAGAGTGTGTGAGATCGTCCTCGAGTTTTTGTATGATAGACTTGCTGCCTCGTGGTTCCTCGTTAACAATTGAGTTTGAAATAGATCCAGCTGAATGTCTTTTCTTAACATCTCTAGTGATAGCAGCAACGCGCTCGCTAGCAGCTTTGGCAGCACCAGAAACAGCAGCATCTTTTTCCTTGACTGTTTGAGCTTCACTAGCCACAGCAACATCTTTTTCCTTGACTGTTTGAGCTTCACTAGCCACAGCAACATCTCTTTCCTTAACTGCTTGAGCTTCACCGGCCGCAGCAACATCTCTTTCCTTTACTGCTTGAGCTTGACCGGCCACAGCAACATCTCTTTCATTGACTGCTTGAGCTTGACCGGCCACAGCAGAATCTCTCTCCTTGGCAATCGTGTCTGCATTGAACTTAACGCTCTCGTACTCTTGCTGAAGTTGGTTGAGATCTTGTTCCAGTTTGGTTTTCTCTCCAATATGCTGGTTGAATTTGATTTCCGCATCGGACTTTTCCTTTTCGTGCTGAGAGATGAGATCTTGAATGCTTGCTCGGAGTTGCAAGATGGTCGAATTATGTTGATTGACCAAGTTAACTGCTGTTGTCTTGTCTGTCAAAGCAACTTGCACATCAATCTTTTCGGCATTCATAGACTGGAGCGCATTTTCTTGACCGGCGATCACCCCTCGAAGCCTATTGAACTCTTTATCGGCTGTTCCTCGAGTATTCTTTAATTCATCATGGAGTTTGTCAATGTTTTCTTTGAGGTCGAGAATTTCCAGGTCTCTCGCCAAAAGCTCATTCTCAGAAGGTTGGTCTGGATATCCTGGGGCCATACCAGATTCTCGGATTTGATCTTCAAGAAATTCGCACGATGATTCTGAAATCACAAGTTCAGCTTCTAGTTTTGCGATCTTCTCCTTCGCTTCTTCGGTCTGCTGATTCAAACGGTCGACATCGTCTTTCAAAGCGCCGATGTCCATTTGAAATACAAAATTGGAGGATTCAAGATCATCTACTTCCTTTTCTTTGGATTCATGCTGCTGCTTGATCCAAGCGAGCTCTTTGTTGGCTTCCTCCAACTTTAGGTGGAGATCGGTGTTCTCTTGCTTAAGGGTTCCATGATCGATTGATTTGGGGACCATGTGGGAGATCGAGAATTTGAAAGAAGAATCGGATTTGGACTCATTTCCGAATCCTACAATCCGTTAGCACAGCCCACATAAAAATGATGAAACTCGAATATCATACCATTGCCGAACGTGGGCATACTCGCACCAAATGCAGGCATTCCCGCGCCGAATGCTACAGCTGCATTATTTCCTTGTTGATTTGGAGGCATTGCTTGAGTATCTTGCTGTGGGGTGGCCATAGCCGATCCTATAACTCATTAGTATAGTCCACATGAAGAGTTTGATAATGGAAAACATACCAGACCCGAAGAAGCCACCCATCATGGTTTCTGCGGGCGGTTGAGTTGCTGGACCATTTCCAAGAGTTGGTCCTTGGGAGAGAATCTGGGTCAAAGATGGCTGTTGTGAAACCTGTTCTTTACGGAGATCGAAAAGAGCAGGCTTGACGCCTGGGACTAAGTTGTCGAGATTGTTGTTGGACATATTTGAGACTATCGGTCAAATCGATTAGCCATCTGTGCAGAGCATTTGGGCGCCGAAGATAGGGAAAAACTTACATGTCGATCTTGAACTTGAAGACTTGTTTGTCGGGAAAGAATATAGAAACCGTGGAGATTGAAAGTTTGGGAACTTCTGTTGTCAGGAACTCTTCTCTGTCAGTGAAGTTAATTAGCAAAGCGCACGATGAATAGCATGTGGGCGTTGATAAATTGAGAAGCTTACATGTAACGGCGAACTGTTAATCGATCTAGTTTCTAAAGATTTGAATATTTGAAGAAAACTGGTGGAATTTTTGGTTTCATTCTTTGTGTAAAGAGTTTTGATGAATTTGAAGGTTTTTTGGTGGGTGTTTCGTACAGTGGGAAGAGTGTTGAGGTTGTTGTAGTTGTCGAAAGTTGAAGATCGTTGAGTGTATATTTACAATCTGGATTGTGCGCGCTAGTGAGATTATAGGTGAATTATCACGGCTCACTGACGGTTTATCACGGTATAATTTGAAAGGCTGTGAATGAAGAAACTTGCTCATTTTGTTGGCATCGTCGCATAGTGAATGTTTTTCAAGTGGGGCTCAGACAACTTCATTTCCATGACAACACTTGCAATTACGGCAACCTTGACTCACTTCACTTTTAGAAAAGAAAACAAAAAGGACCTAGATCGCAAACTTCGGATGAAAGTACATTCTATGTTCTATGTTTGTATTCATTATATGATATTGCGAGATTAGACGAACGTCTAGTGGGAATGGGACACTCGCTTAATGTTCCAAGTTTGCTAGATCTTTTGACCCACACTTCTATGCTACTAGAAACGATATCAGAGTCGAAATGATACGACCTATTTGACATGATAGCCAGCAGAGTAATGTAAGGCCAACAATATTTAGGAAGCATATAGGTATGTATGATATATAGTAACGTCAGAGTATAGTCCGGGCTACAGATCAATAACATAAGGATTTCAATGTCTAATAGCACTTAGAAATTTAAAAAATAGTTTAATGTTCTAATTAGCTTTAACATTTCAGACGATTTGATTATTTTAATTGGTTTGGGGCTTAATAATCTTCATTGTTGGATTGTGGTTCGGACTATTGAATACCATGAGTAACGTTGACTTATTCATCATATTGTGATTAGAAGTAAATATAGTTATTAGAATGAAACCGAAACTGATGGATTTTTGTTTCGTTCAAATCTGGTCTTCGTTGGTTTATTCTGTCTTCATGTTTTATGTCTATCTAGCAGAGTAGGAACGCCGTATATTGATGGCACTACAGCCCAAAATGTTCTTAGACTCAACAAATTCATGGCACTTCATCACGTTACAGTTACAGCTACAGCCAAGGCGATTCCGACGTCGAAGAGAAGGCGGTACTGGCTTATCAACATTTGAGGGTGAATTTCTCCAGATGTACGAGCACACGTCGGCAGTCAGCTGTTCTAAGGTTATGATTGCTTTTCGGAAAAATCATAACTTTCAGATGACCAATCAAGAGACTTTAATCTTCAAAAGAATCATATGCGAATGACTACCTCGGTATCTAGTGAATACTGATAAATGACTGCAAAAGCCGAGCAAGTGTTAAATCTCGATCTTCCAAAGCACAATTCGGGGGGATGTTCAAGGTGTGGCGGCTTTCGGAGGCTATTGAATTTCCTCGCCTTGTAATATAAATTTTGTTGGTCTTTGAGTGGTGATCCATAGTCTACAGCTTCTCATCCAGTTTCAAATCATTCTAATAAGTGTGGTGGTGCCTCTTAGGGTGCGTTCGGATCGATTTTTGATTTATTTAATGAAATTTTTAATAATATTAAAACGGCAAGGGTATTCAGACTAATATATTTGAGTAGTATTAAATATATTTGAATAACGTTGAGAATAATAGGGGTGAATGATAATAAAGATTTGTTGAAGATTTATTAAATAATTTTTTATAATGCTTCAAAAACTTGCTTATTACAGGAACTACCTCTAGATCACATGAAAATAGCTAGAGATTTCTTGAGATAATTTAGACTAAATTTCAAGTAGAAATCTAATAAGATTATAACTAATTATAATTCTTGTAATTATAATAATGAAATTAATGATTATTCTTAAGCACGAAGTTTTACATATAAAGAAACCTTTTCCCTTATATAGACCTTCATATTCTACTATTTCATTAATCCCATTCACTAAGAATAATAAAAATAATAAAATTCTATTGATTCTATTAATAATAATCAATAGGATTGATAGAATGGTTCATCACATAACACTAATCCTATAAGTCTCATCGTCCTGTCTTATTTCCTATCCTAGGGCTAATCCCTTAGGAGCTTACTAATCCTATAACTAATACTATATACATACCTGAGGTGTCCTTAAATGCCTAATGTCCCCCAGTATACTACAATTGAATTACCAAGGCCTATAATACCATTATAGCCTATACGTTGGTGATTCTACAGCCTGTTACTAATCCGTTGTAACATTGCTTTACAATTTATTTGATAAATGTATAAGGATCTTAAAAGTATTTATCATTCTAAAATTTATTTATTAAATAAATTATTATGAATTATTTCATAGTTTCAAGCGTTCGGTAAACGTAATTATTTATTAAATAATTCCTAATAATTTATTTCACAATTTCAAGCATTCAGTAAAGCTATTATTTGATCTTATTTAGCATTATTTACTAAATAATTTAGGTCTAATAATTCGAAATAATATAAAATAAGTGATTCAAACGCACCCTTAATTCACAGGTGTAGCTTCACCTTCATCAAGAAAACTTTTCGGGAAAGATACCCGTGCCCTTCACCTTTCTTCAGGGAATACTTGAAAGGAGTTTTATTAAGTGCCGTCAAAACGAGATTTCAGCAACCATTCATGACATTACAGTCAATGTCATTATTACCTAATATGCTTCGTCCCCCGCTCTTCTAGAAATTAGATTCCATTTTGATGACCGATGTTGCGATTACATCCATTAACTTCATTCAATACTTGGTATTGTACTGAACTGTGCGAATAGTTTGATTATTATTACTAGCTCTAGCACTGTACTAACACTAGCTTTCTCGAGCGGGGCATTGTCAATTGTTTTGACTTTTGACTTGTTGATAACCTTAAGCAGACTTTAAATTCTGGGACCCGTGATCATGTAACGACCTGCCTATCATGAGCCTTGATTAGATAGCCGGATAAAAGATCACAGAGATGCTGGCATTATGAGAATGAATCTCGTTCGTCCAAAGTCCAAATCAGCTTCCACACCCTGTAGTAGCAAAGTTAATATTACGGACGAAGAGAAATTCAATATAAATTCCTATATAAATTTCTATTATATATATAATAATATTAATTTCTTTTTTTTATTAGCGAAATGCTAATTTTATTAATAATGAATATTATCGATACTAAATGTAATTCGTTTATTATTGAATTTTATCGTAGGTCATGAGCTAGTATATAGGGATTTAGTATAAATAGAATATAAGAGGAGATAGACTAGTATAATCTATTATAGAAAGCTGACTCAGGTTAACAACCAAAAAAGCAATGAAAACACGTGATATTTATGAATCTATATATTAATACTCACTTTCTTATTCTATATTAATGTTACGGGAGCTGCCTCTAGGGTCACGTGGAAGTGTCTAGAGATCTCTCGAGGTGGTTTAGACTAGACTTCAAGTAGGAATTCAATAAGGTTGTAACTGGTTGCAATTCTCGTAACTATAGTAATGAAACTAATGATTGTTCTTGAGCACGAAGCTCCATATTATAATGAAACTCATTCTGTTATATAGACCTTCGTCCTCTGGAGCCCCTGGGATCCGTATGCTCCTGGAGCCCGTAGCTCCCCAAGGCTCCCTCACGTGACACGCGAATGTGTCATGTGATGTCTGTCGTAACACTATCCCCTTCCTAGTCTAGCGCTTGTCCCAAGCGTTAATATAGTGCTACCTGTCCCCACATGATGTTCATATCGTACCGTACCTCCTTGTCTTTTAACTATGTCGTCAACTGTTAATAAAATTCGAATAACAGCCAGAAAACGTGAAGAACAATTAATCCTTGCTCAGCTGATTGATTCCTGTGGTGTCGAAATGTCTCCGTGTTCTCATTGCCGTGAGCAAGGTTTGCGCTGTGTTAAGGATTACGGCAATCCCCAAAGGACTTGTTGTTCGGAGTGCGTGCGCTCCCGAGTTTCTTGTGATGCTGAATTTGCTCTGGAGGATGATTGGGATCGAGAAGTTCCTCGTGCCTCTGACTGGGCTTCCCTAGATCGTCAAGAAGAGAAATTGGATGAAGAGGAAGAGCGCGCGGTCGCGGCTTCCCAAGAAGCGATGGCCAAGGTGGTTCGCCTTCGTAAACAAAAGAAATTTCTTCGCGAACGTAGGAAGAAAATGGCTGACCGTGGCCTAAAATATTTGGATGAGCTTGATGCTCTGGAAGAAAAGGAAAGACTAGAGAAAGAGCGTGTTGAGAGAGAAAAGGAGATGACGTCTGCTCCTGTCGCTGGTCCTAGCGGCGACTCCTTGGCTTTCGACTCTTCTTTGGATCCTTCGATCCTTGTTTCGATGGAATCTCCTTCTTTCTGGGCAAATTCGGGTATCTCTGGTGAAATGCCTCCAACTTCTCAGGGCAGTTGAGGTTTTCTTTCGGTTCCCATGAATTTTCGGTATGTGGGTAATCTAACCATTTGATCAAGTATTTGACTATGCCTCTGACGTATTTACAATCTAGTATTGTTTCGACATCATATATGGCGTTGGGGTTGACTGGTTCGATTTCGGTGAATGGCGCACTCGGCGCTCCTGGTGGTGCTGGTTCGAGTAAGGATATGTGGAATACTGGGTGGATATTCATCGTGTCTGGTAGTTTTAACCGATAATTGACGGTTCCTATTACCTTATCAATCTTGAATGGTCCTAATTTCCTGTGATCGAGTTTATTGCTTGGTCTTTTGGTTTCGATGTTTCGTC